AAAAAAAAAAAAAAAAAGAAGAAAGGGAGGCCAAGTTGTGAGCGCTGCCCTGCAGAACAAGCGTGGCTCGGCTCTCAGCGTCATGTTTCTCCTCACACTGGTGCTTTGGATCGCTAGGCAGCGAGGACTGCCTTTAATTAAAGATCAGTGCTAGTGAAGAGGCAGCTCAGCTTAAGCCCAGATGGGACACAGGGTGTGTGTGTGCAAGGCTGAGCTGAGCTGCTCTCGCAGAGCAGCCCGTCTCGTCGGCAGCACCCTCGCTCTGCTCTTAGCGCCGTGCGCTCCGTGCGCAGTCGTGGGACACTGACCCCGCTGCCGCCTGTCTGCAAGTTCTGCTACCACTGACTTAACTGTTGAGGATCCAGGCACCTGTTCCAGGTTCCTGCTAAAGCCAATCCGTAAGGAAGCGATTCCCACTGGTGTCGTGAGCCACTTCCAAGGTTAATAACCCAACACAGGAGCCGAATGGCTGCATTTCACACAGCAGGAGATGATCCTTGCCCATTACTAAAGCTCTTTTGGACACCACAGAGGCTGTTTTGTCCTTTCTGCATATTCTGCCATACACAGCAGCTGAGGATACCATGTGTAGATAACATACGGCAATTTTCCCACTTGTCCCCAGGCCTTCACGCTCCCTCTCTGACCCTAGGAAGCGCTGCAGGGCAGGGGTTGGGAATCACAGGTCAGTCGGGAATTCCAGTCACTTTACAACCACATTTTCCAGGATCCTAGTGCATCCCTCTACCTGTGTGTTGTATCAAACACCTACGGTGGGACCGCAAGGCACAGGCTCCAGTTGGACTGAATCAGTCTCGCTAAGGAAGAAACACCACATTGGTACCACTCCCTTCCCAGCTCTTTATTCTACACAGCAAATGCCAGGTTTCCCTTTAAACAAAGCTGTTGGATGGAGAACGTCGTCTGTGGTCTCCATGTTCTTGCTCAAGTGTAACATTTCCATGGCACATTTGTCTGCTAAACCTGCTTTCGAGCCGCGGGGCACGGGTGTAAGTGAACTGGCTTATCCCTTTCCCTGCTCCCGCCGCCCGGCTCCACAGGCATGACCTGGAATCGCACGTAGGTAGTGGGTGAACAACTGGGAAACTGCCGACCTACCTCCCAGACAGACTGTGAGAGGGAGGAACGAGGCCCTGGCAGATGGAAGCTCTTTCCTACTTGCCGTTTTGGCCAGTATGAAAATCGCTAGAACTGCTAGACTCGTTCCCGCTGTTGCTTACAGCCTTTGAACAAAGATGCCTACAACTGCTGGCAAAAAGTTAGGGTGCACTATGGCCTTTTGCAAGAGCAATTTATTAACATCCAACTAAACTGGTTACAGAGRGAGGAAAAAAATAAATCAAGGTGTAAATTGGGCATCAAGGTGCCCCAYGGTTATTACAGGGTTTTACAGGAAGTGAAGCAGAAAACAAGAATGATCTTGACTGCAGAAACAGCATTGCAGAAGTCTGAGAGTGGCATGGTTATTTTAACACATAAAACACCAGTCCTTAATCCTGAAGTAATGTCCTAGCAGAACAAGGGGCAAATTCAGCATTTAGCAGCCCTGCATATGTAATACCTCATACTTGGGATACGTTTTTCCAGTACAGGCAGTAGTCCAAGATTTACATAAATGTCAGCGTGCCTGACCCTCAGGGGTACCAAATATTCCTACAACCACCTTCAAGATGTGGTTTAAAGAGCTGAAGGAGCTCATCAACTTGTCTTGAATCATCTCCCCAACATTCTTGCAAACTTTGTACAGTTTTGTTTATATTTATATCAGAACATCAAATCTACAATTTATGTATTAAAAAAAGAACCATTAAAATAATCTATCATATGGCAACTATTTATATGGAAAACTCTTATTGCTTTCAAAAGCTGCAGCGAGAACAATATCTAAGAACAGAGAGACAGAATAATATATTTGGTGATAAGTTAGAGCATTTACTAAGTTTCAACAGGTAAGTTAGGTAACATTTGCATGTTTTTGTCAACTCACAACTGCTGAGGTTAGCTGCACCCACCAGCAGCTAGAAAACAGAAAGGATGAGTTAGTGAATATTGGTAAATTTATTTATAGTAGGAATGTTTAATCCATAAATGAAAACACTGCCAACCCGAAGAACCTTCTGTTTTAAATTTACTCCTTCTTTGAAGCTCACGAGGTGCGTTCAGCTGGAGAAGCTGGACTTCATCCTCTTCTGCTACACGTGCACCGTGAGCCAAGTCTTGCCTTCTTCTTCAGCTTGATCCCCTTTTATTAGTCACTTGTGTACAAAATAAAGCAGCACTGAACAAAGCAAGACACACCAAAAGCTTCCTGCACTAAAAGCTCATCCTGGGGAGCAGGGGACCGGACAAAGGAACAGGTTTCCACCGAGGCAGCTCCTAGGATGTCAGCGGGGAGCCACACTGACCAGGCCACTGCCAAGCAGAAGGTCCTCTGCGGTCAGAAACGGTGTGGAAAGAGGCTGCASTGCTTAGGGAGAGCTTTAAAAACTGCAGATACTTGCTGGATAGCAGYCAAAGTGCAACACAACCCAATCAATGCTACATCGATGCGAAAAGTTTGGAATTGCCTTCTACAAAAGTGCCAGCATTACCCAAAYTATAGCAAAGTTGTAGCAGAGAAGCAAATACGAGATTACAAACAAAAATGCTGTTTTAACAGAGTTTGCATAAGGGATTAGTGAGAGTGTAGCCTGAACAGCTTAGATGTTTGACATAATTCAAGAGTTCTAGCCTTAATTCATCTAGTTCTAGCCTTAAGTAAATCATTAAAAGAAAATAATATCTCCTCTCAAGCACTGAACTTGTCATTTTTTTAAGAAAAGCTTTCTCTTCTCTGGMACTGACCTGCTCAGGTTAAGACAATCGTGCTTGAACTCAACATGTGTCTTAAGGCATTGTATTTACTTCAGTATCGAGAGCAGAAGGAGACTACAGCAGCTATTGGCAAGCCCTTCTTCAGGATGSCAACTATTATGTAAATATATATTATATACATATGTATGTATAAATGGGCTCCAGTCCTTTGAATGTGGAAGTAAAACTAGGGATCCACATTGCCTGCAGGCTCTGTGTTTTGAATCCAGTGGATTTGCCTCACATAAAATAAAAAAGTCTTGAGAATGGGGACCAGAAATGGACCATCTCCCTCCCGGGCACATGTCCCAACCCCAGAGTTGTCCTTAGTCCCATTCTGGCCCTGTGAGTCTTGGACTCCTTTCAGCACAGTGATCTGGCTTTAATAATCTCCAGCTCTTGCAGGTTGACTTCAAACGTCAGACTGCAAAATAAGGCTACTGTGTTTGCAGTCCCCATCTCTCTCCTTCATGGGCCAAGTTCTGACAAAAAGAATAATAATTCTACTTCAGATCCAAAGAAAATTTGTTGGAGTCAACTCTGCATCCCAAGAACCGCTACTTAAGCATSAGAGAAGACCAGACGACTCCAGACGCTTCCTCCTCAGAAACTGGGCTGTTCTGGCTCTCGCTCTGACATATTTATTTCTCCAGCTCTGTATAAAGGGCCTAACTTCTTTATTGGATTTATATTTCAAAAAAATTCTAAAAGGAGTAGATCACTGCTGGTAATCTGGCACAGGAAACGCATTTCCATGAGTGGGAACCACAGAAAGAATATGATGATTAATGGAGCACCCTGCTTCCATAGCAATCTAATGACACCAGAGAGTGTTTTGCTCCACAGAGCAGTGTCCTACACACATCATGCTGTTGCCTCATAACCCCAGATTTCCTACGCACCACAATGAGGAATTGTGGTGTCTACCAATACTGCTCKTTCTCTGAGCACTCTTGCTCTGGCAGTTTCCATTGAGAGTAGAAGTGTTACCAGGTACAAAACATAAATGGAAGGGAAGAAAAGGYATCTAGATTTCAGTCAAAAACAATATATGTCTTGGCGTATTGCAAAAGACTAATGTAAGTTATACACTTAGTAACACATCCGAATGGTYTGAAGTAAAAAAATACGAAATCCAAGTACCACAGCTTTTCACTTTACCCAGAATGACAATATAGAGGATACTATTTTCAGAATGATGGATATATTTGCATACATGCACAGAAATAACATCAAGACAATTTTCTTCCATTTCTTTACATACTCTTGACATGAATTTAACAGCTAAAACCAACTCTTTCATACAAAATTAACCAAGGACAGTTGGACTGGAGCTGGAAAGGGGGCGTCAAAGCATCATTCACAGCTGGCAGTTGTGGAGCAGTTTCACAAAAGGAGATATTACTGGTGCAATAATTTTGCTTCAAGTATCTAAGAAATACCCTGCATTCTACCAGGCAGGATTTTACCAGGAAGGATCCCCCTTCCCCTGGGAATGTTGCCACAGAAAACAATTTATATAAGGCCCCGCTCGGCCCAATGCTCCCCATCATTACGAGAATGACGTTCTAGACACCGACTTAGACTGCAGGATACCAGATAATGTCACCAGTTTTCAAAAGTCAAAACACAAACACCCAAAATAGTGGCATTAGTTCAACACCCACAGCTTTTAATGCATTACGGTTCTTTAGGTTTGCTTTCTTTTTTGGTCCCCTCTGACTCTCTAACTTTGGATGCTATTAATTATTAAGTCATATACAAAGCATCAGGGGAAAATCCACTTCATACATCCAAAGGAAAAAAAAAAAAAAAAAGAGCAGCAGACAGGATGATGAGTAAATTTAACACATCCTCTATCTCTTCACATTTTACTTCCTTTCTTACAAGCTTAAAAAAAMCCCCAAACATCCTAGCTTAACCCTTCTGTTAAGTGACTCTTCAACTTAAATGGTAACAACCAACTGCAGGGATAATTACAAATGTCAGCTTATATCTACACCAGGCTCTGAGAGTTAATATGAAAATAAAACAAAGGATCAAGCTCAGAAAGCCAAACAGTCCCCAAAGATTCTGATTTTCTTTCCATTTTTTCTCTGCATTTTTTTCTTCATCACTGCACCACTAAGCTGCTGGCCTCCTCGCTGAGTCTTGAAAAGACTATTGAAAGAATCAGGTTCACTTTTCTGGGGGGTGATAAATTACAGCACTGATCACGATGCAGAATTCCTGCACAAAGCAAATGAAGGTGACAGAGCCATCGTCTGCTTCTAAGGCAATAGAGATTAAAGATAACAGAAAGCACAATGCAAATATTTATATATATATATCTACTGACACAGATTTGCTTGTGAAAGCATTCTTAGTGTTTCTTTTGGGTTACATACAACACCCTAAATTATTTTTCAGAACAGTGCAGGACATGGTAAATTGTGGATGTCTCTAAGCTCCTACTTCCTCCAGGAGGCTCCCTTATCCATACAATGTCCAGTTATTCCAGTCCCAAGCCAGTTAAACATGGCAACAACAGTTATCACAGGAGCAGTTTATTTTGTATTATTAACGTGGCATGATAGATACAGGGAAAACCAAACGGGGCTGTGGGTGGTAGTGGTGATGATGAGATGCATGCTTTTTAAACTTGAAAACTCTGCTGTTGCCAGAAAGTCAAAGACATGCGGAGCAGAGGTGAGGAATGAGCGAGGCTGGAGCTGCAGACAGGCAGGAATGTAAGTTACGCTTGTATGGGAATGACTGTGGCGCTGCTGTCTGAAGGAAAAACAACAACACTGTGCGCCTCCATTATCTTCATTCAAAAGTGCAACTTCTGCTACATCTGTTTCCCACTATATTTCTGACCTAATGTTTAGTATTTCACGACTCGATCCATAGGTATAAAATTATGGAAAAGAGGTGCAACTAACATAGTGCAAGACGGTTAAATATTCATCTAAACATAAGAGACAGAGGAAGATCAAAGATTCCATACATTTCTCTAAGGCAGATGGTCTTTTTTTTTTTTTTTTAATATAAGATCTTAACTATGCTGTTCATTTCTGAAGAGGTAGAAAATACCAAATACTACTAAAAAATTTCTAGGTTAAAACAATCAGTTTACTTAGTCTTGAAAAAGTCTTACTACTGCAATTTTTAGTTTACTAAAAACAAATGAAGCTGTGGAAGCACAGGATTTCGTGCTCTGTGTATATCTTTCTTAATGGAAAAAAAGAAAGATTCTTCATCTATTCAGTGCTCAAGCATTATAAAAGAAAAGATCTCTTTCTCTTGCCCTGTTGGAAGCTACAAATCTGGAAATTCCTAGTGGAAAACGTTGGCGATTCCTGAATTCTAGCACTACATTTAGCTGGGCAGTTTCTGTATAAGGCAGTAGAAACACGGATGTCATCAGCTCCGAGCTACCTCCTCCATAATGCTAGTAAGAAAGCTAGTAAGAACAAAAGCTTATTTAAATCTTTTCCACAGGCCACAGAGCATGGTACCTAGGTTCCAGCACGGACAGAAATACCCGTGCGCTCCGCGCTGGGCGCCCGGGGCTGCGGCGGMTCCCGCTGCCCTCGCGGCACCGCTCGGAGGGGCCGCTGTTCCCGTCGCCGSTGCAATTCAGTAAGGCATAAGTTAACTCAGAACTGACATTACTACACGGTGCAAAAAAGTAGTGTAAAAGGTCCTCTTTTCCCTCCAGTCATTAACATTCAGGAATATTTATTAAATACTTTATAAAAAGAAGTCAGGGTGTTTATACATTCAAACAATCATTGCAATAGTCAGAGTAGAGAAAACAAATGCAGGATCAGATCCTAAATTAAGCACAATTCTGGAGATATGCACACATACACACACCCCCACACATATATTATATGTGTGCACTTGTATATATATAAATATGTTTATAGGTATGTTTCATATATACTTCTTTTAAGTCAGAACTGAGAACACAGCACAGGGTATCTTCACTTGGCTCCTTTTTCACCAGAGGACGGGATTGTCCAGCTTGGAAAACCCGGGATCTCTTCTGAGCTCCATGTAGGTTCCATTGCTCACCCAGGAGTCATCTTTGGATTTCCTGTCGAGGGTGAACAGAGTTCCCGAGGGTGAAGGGGGCGATCCCCGTGCTGCCCAAGGCTCAGCAGGGGCGCCGGGCGCGTTGGGCCTGCGCCGGCCCCAGGCCGCACCGYGAGCCCCGTGTTCACCTGAGGTAAACGCGCTCGCTGTAGCGCTGACCGCTCGCTGCTTTGCAGTTAAAACTACACACAAAGCTTTTTTCTGGGGCTGCACTGCCCATGGGCTGCTTTTGGGAAACTTCTGTGAGAACGGTGCCCCTGGGCCCTCTGAAATCGGAACCATTTGGTTTCTCTCCCAGCTTTCTGGGTCTCTCTCCACCAAAAGTGACTCACTGTGTTCACTGCATAAAGGAAACCTCACAGTTCTCAGGAAGGGAACAGGGCTCTCTGCACTAGGTACTGTGCTCCCAAGGACAGAGCCCACTTTAAATCTGGTGTGCCACAGTTTTGGCACCACAGCAAGTTATTCTTTTAAGTAGGCTTATGATTTTAGCAGTTTATGATTTGTAGAAGACAGAAATCATTGTGATCATAAGAGAACTATGTAAAATAGTGAATAATGTAAGTTATATGCACTCTAGCACTGGGTAACACTTTTGCTACTAAATAACTATAACTATACATTACAGCACGCTATATGTAACATAGGATACTATACATAATATAGCATACTATACATAACACAGCACACTATACATAAACTATGTTTATCACTCCAGTCTGCAGCACTAATTTGTCAAAGAGCATCCTTCTACCCTTACTGTAAGCAGGCAATTTTATAGTATTCGATTTTGCTTCTATCCTGTCTTTTTAGCTGTTTGAACAAGGTTTTCTCTTCTGTACTAGCTGTGGTGAGTTAGCTCACCAGCTCCACACACACCCACAGGCCAGAGCCACTCCATGGTCTTGATCTAGATTTATAGCAAGATTTTGTACTTTTCGAAGGGGCACAAAGCAAAAACTGATGTAGATGAGTTTCTGAGTTATTCCCTTTTTTGCACCCATTTTAAATATTTCTCTGTTTCTCAGAGTCCTGCTCCTCAGAAGAGCAGCATCCGTCTCTGCAGAAAGGGGAAGGATCCCCAACAGCAGCACAYAGACCCAGTCTTCTTGTCTCCCTCTTGCTCACTGGATCTTGGACAGAGCTGCAGGGCTAAAACCCATCTTGCGAACATTCACCTTTGCCTGTGATGATTGAAGCCCTCTTCAAACATTATTTTTTTCCCCTACTGTATATCAATTAAAGCATCCTCTAACTCATAAATCTCTCCTCATTACATATAGGGGAATATGTTTAAAAATAGCCCTGGAAACGAATGGCTGCAATTCTTCAAGCTGCTGCACAAGGCAATCCCACAAAATTCAGTGGGAGTTCAGCAATGGTAATTAAGCTAAATCCATCCCCTTCACCTTGCCTGAAGGAAAGAAAGATACTGCMCTACAATATGCCCAGGCTAATTCAAGCTTAGACCAAATCCCATTTGCCTTTGAGGCAAAAGTTCACGAGAAACTGAGGGATACACTAGTAAAATGGCAATTTATAATTCTTAGTTTTAACTAAGTTTGAAGTGTTTACATTAAAAAAAAGCAAGAACATAAAAAAAAAAAAAAAAAAAAAAAAAAAAAAAAAAAAAAAAAAAAAAAGGAGCCTACTACTCTGCTCCAGAGAGTTAGCTCCAGAACTCTAATCCAAATTTCAACACATGATTATAAATGCTAATAATTATATAGTACCTGAAGAATCTAGGCTGATGCTCCAGACTGTTTTCTTCCAGAACTTTCCGTCGTTCTCTCTGTAGTTGCTCAATCCTCTGCTTTTGCAATTCAGCGCCTTCGATATTCCCTTCTTCTAGAAACCTGTAGCACCAGCAGTGGTAAAATACATGACCAGGTCTTCCCATTACTCCCCCATCTTTGTCAGGTTCCCTGGGGCCCCAGGACCTAATCTTTATGTTCATATAACTTGAAAAGTAAACAACTACCTCTGCAGACAACAAAGCATGTAACAGGTTCAAAGTACCTTTTTTATTAGATGCTTTTCCTCTGAAGTAGAGAAACAGAAGAAATTCTACTTAGAATGGAATTTCAAGTACCTCAGTTTTTGGCTATTCATATACAGTATGCTAGACAGCTGGCTAAATCTGAAAAGATTTAGCATCTTTTAAAAGGCAGTTATCTAGAAACAGAAACATCCAAAAAATCARTTCTTGAAGATATTGATCCATATGGAGTAGGCCAGCCTTGGGTGACTGATTAAAATGTCCATTTCAAGGGCATATTAATACAGAAATGGAAACATACTGMAAGCATCTACTCAAGATACTCAAGGCTGAGCTTGAGGAAAAGTTAGTGTGYAGAGGTTTTAAAAAATATTTGAGGAAAGGAGTATTTCAATTTTGCTTATGAAAGAAAACTTCTTACCTTTGGTCTGGCCTAAAACGTGTATCAGTGGATGGTAGTAATGGCCTAGTTTGTGGGTCCAGTTCATTTAACTCCAGGGCGAACTGAGTAAATCCATACCACTGCTCATAATCTTTAGGCATTGGATCTACAGAAGAAAAAAAAAATACATTCCAAGTAACTTGAACTAAATGCTTCYAGCTTTAGAAGGAACTGTACAAACTTCCCCACTGTCATTTGGTCATCATTTTGAGCCAGGGTCTCAATTTGGGGGGAATAAAAGTTATTTAWTAGTCTTGTGACAAAAGAGAAAATCTGCTCTGAGGCACTATGTCAAAACAGATTTCTCTCTGCTCAGCCACAGCAAAACTACAAGGAAGTGCATGACAGTAGCCAGTGCTTTTTCAAACTACAGCAGACACAAATCCTCATGGGTTTGGGTAAGGTTCAGGTTTAGCTCATAATACAGAGTTGGGTTTTGTGGCGTATTGTCCAGTGTTTAATACAAAAAACCTGCTGCAGTTCTCTACGAAATAAAGTGCCCCCTTCCTCCCTCCCTTCTTGGAGTCCTCAATACACCCTTCACATGCAAATTTGAAAATGATATCCCCAACCAAGGGAGAATAGGRAGGACAGACACGGAATGAAGTTATCTCAGTGTTGTTGATCAAGTTACATGGTTTATTCTTCTGGCCTACATAGTAAGCACTTGACAAAAATCCATTTTTCCATATAGAGATATTAAGAAAGTGGGGCCTAATATGATGAAAACAGACAAGTTTATTGTCAAGAAGATTTATAATTCTGTATATAATGATTCTGATCACTAACTTGCTCTCCATATGCAGTTTGAAGATGATGGGGTCCCACAGTATAAACTTTCATGCCATTTTCCAAAAATGCGATGCACAGCTTTCCCAGTTTTATCCATGACACTGCCTTCAATTTCGTGTGCATTTGGATTCCAGTATTTTGCCTAGAATTAAAAAGAAAAAGGATAAAATATTAGCTGTATAAGGCTGACTGAATGATTTTACCATGTGAGTAGCACCTTGTAGTTGCCTGTATTTTTGAAATAAAAACTACTCCTTTAGGTGTAAATTATGGTACTCTGTAGAGAAAACTACTCCTAGTTAGTACTGTGTACAGAGAACTACTCTAGGTTAGCTTATTATTAATCAGCGCATTAACACCTCTAACAAATACCTCTATTTTGTCTTTTGGGACAGCAGTGGATAAAGCAATCTTGACTCTCAAACTTGCCCAGTGACAGGCAGCACTGATTTCAAACTGTATTCCCCTCAGTCTACATCTGTATCTACCTTCTTCCCAGATTTGAAGAGGAAGAAGAACTGCCAAGGAATTGATTCTTAAAGTAATCTGCACTTCGGCCAAATCATAACATCTGAGGTAGAGGTATCTGCAGTCTCCCAGTCTTTAAAATTTGAACTCCAAACATTCAGACTATACCATGCAGCAGGTGTATGCTGGAATATGCTTCATTCAGAAGCTGACCACACAGACATAGGCTAAGAAAAGCACAGCTTTGTACTAGCAATCTGATTTGGAAAACTTGGGATTAAAACAAGCTCTCCTAGAATGCTGCACAAAACTCTTTATTTCAGGAGAAAAATTCTGGCATCATGTCAAAGTGATTTCCCTTTRCTTGGAAGACGACATTTAATCTACTACCAAATTAACATTAACTTCAGTTTCCAAGGGAGTTTCTTCAGGATGTCATATATGATGCCTGGAACCCAACTAAAGGCTCTGAACAGCAACAACTACAAACCCGCTCAGTTAAGCTCCTTCAAATTCATGAAAAGGGCTAGAGAAGAGCAAAGGCTCTCCTGTTAGCAAAGCATTTCTGCAAGGGCTGGACAAATACAGCCCGAGCACCTGGCCATCCTTTAGGAGGAGGCCTCTACCAGCAGACTGGTACCAACACTGCTGTGGCTACTGGAAGTCACCTTTATAAAAGTCAGTTTGCAGTGACAAGTGTCATCATTAAGATTTTTGATGATGATCTCTCCATAGTGTTCAATCCATCTTTGCCCACTTAAGATGTTATGGATGCAGGATGTCACTTTGTTCCACTCGTAATGGTCTCCAAACCTGAAGAAGTTACATAGAAATATCACAGCATGTTTAAACTAGCACGTTAGCTTAGGAAAAGATCTGTAAAGAATTCTACTTAATAATAATAAAAACACRTTATTTAATGCCTCTCTCTCCTTGTCCCAAATAAATTCTGCCCCTTTTCACTTCTGCTTTAAACTACAGTCTTTAATTTGCTTCTTTCAGTTTCTCTGTTCCTCTTTACAAGCTGAAGTTTCCCAAAGTAATCATTCTAGCACATACTGCTTGCTAAAATGCCCTCTTTCTCAGTCTCTTACAGAGCCCCCAAGCCATCACATTGTGAGCACAGGGGCCTGTGACTGCATCGAGCTCGACTCAGGCCCTTGGGGCTGACGCTGTGYGTGTGCTCTGTGTGCACGTGAGCAAAGGCTCTCACCAGCTTGTGCAAGATGCAGTGCTGGAAGAGAGCAAATGGGAAGAGAGGATCAACAGAAACGCCAATAGGCCACGCTGCCTTTCACCTTTCATCGAAAAGCAGATGTTCTTACAAAGCATCTTTATAGAAGCTCAAACTCTGTTTTCTTGACAGTTGAGGTAAACTTGCAGAGCACCAATTTTCTTACCGTAGCTGCATTTCACTCACAGAAATGTGTTTATCAGCACACATCCCTCGGGGATATTAGCAACTCTCCCTACCTCCCCCTTAATTAACTCATTCTAACTTCATGCATTTGAGGAGCATGTGCAAGGACAGGTCCTATGTTCTAGCAGATAAGCTGCCAATTTACTCACTGCAACTCGCTTTCCTGCTCCTACCTGCAGGTCACATACTCTATTATGCACATCAAAAATATCATATATGCTCCAAAAGCAACAGGGATGCTTCATTTCTGCCTAGCCTTAGCAGAAGAGCCTTTTTTGTTGCCAGTTCTAGACCAGAAGCTTCTTTTCACAAGGATACAAACCAGCACATGTAGAGCACACAGCAGTTCATCAGCCCTCCACGAGCTATAATTCATTAGTTATTTTGCCCCTGAACCTTCCTTTGCATCCTAGAGATCTTTCATTTCCCTGTACACTCTCTTTGGAAAACAGGTTTGACTGGAACACTACTCAAACTTTAGAACTCCGGCTCTGCAAATAACATTGACATGGGGCAAATTTTATGGGATTTTAATTATTTCATCTATAATGAACACCCTAACAAGTCAACACAGGAACAGTGCAGCTATTTATTTTTAAAGAAAGACTGTATCAACACCTTCCTACAGTTGCTCTTTATTTCCTCCGATTAAAACAAACAAACAAACAAAAAAAAACAGATATGCTACTGGGGCTATTGATAGATATTTATAGTATAGTATCTTATAGTAGATATTTAGCCAGTGCTCATGGCTGTCAGCCCCCGACCAGGTCCCAGCACTGAACAAATACAGGCACAGAAACCACTTCTGCAGAACTCTGTGGCTGTTCTAGGGAGAGACAAAACAGAGAAAGAATTCCTGTCTTCCTCTCCAATGTGGTGTCTCCATGTAAGGTTAAAATACATATAGCCTGGAATTCAGCTGCACCAAAGCAAAGCAGCAACTTCTCAAGAGAGCCAGGAGTAACAGTGTTTATCTCGTCTTCTGGAAGAGTTAATGATACTGGTAATATAAAGGAGGGGGGCGGGATTTCATCACCACGTTTCTTCCCAAGGTCTCCTGTGGTCCTGTACAGCTTGTTCTGGYTTGGGTCAAAGCAGCACGTGTGTACGTGTGCACACAGCAACGTGCTATTGCACCACTTACGCTGGCAGAGTGACATGCGTTGTACCAACTGGAACAATTTCCATGGACTTTCCCCAGAATTTGTTTTTCCATCTCACATCTGAAATAAAATAGGCGGGGGAAAGGRGATGAAGAAAGGACAGGTTTAGTCATAAGCACCAGTGAATCAATCTATTTCTGTGCTCCACTTCAGTCTCAAGAAAATGCAAAATAACAAAGTGCAACTTAATAGTTCAAAGTAATGCTATGGACCTTTGAATGACTGCATGTTTTTTTCATTAAATTACCGGTTATTTAATTAATAAAGGCACCAAAAGTTTAAGAAAAGAAATTTCTGTTAAAAACTTGCTCAAAAGACAGAAATTTGAATAAGCTATTAATAGGCATTATACATTCATCTGCAATTTAATAGGAATGGTGAATGAATGTAGGCATTTCTGAAAACAAAAGTAGAATTTCAGATACAAAAATATACCACCAAAAGTCATCTGCAATAAGGAAGCAAGATAATGATTCACAGGCCACAAACTGGAGGGAGGTTTAGTCCAGCTTCGCCTGGAAGTATAACTGGCCTTTTAAAATCCATTTTGAAGCACAGAAAGAGCTCTCCAAAACTTACATTTTCTCCAGAAAATTTCTCCATTTTCTCTTCTTGCATGGAAGAAAACTCCACACAAGCTTAAACAAATTTACAGAGGTGTTAATTAAGCTAYTAAAAACACTTGGAAGTGAAATAAGCATGGGCAGAGAAACAGGACCCAAGGAGTGCAGTTAAGTGAGGCTAAATAACCAGGCAGCAACTCTCATTGCACCTTTGGAGCTGTGGGACAGCATCTTTGCTGCATTAGACACTGGAAACTCCAGCTCTGCTCCCTAATCTGATAAGGAGGGAAGAAGCCATCTCAGGGTTCAGAAAGCTGCTGGTGCAAACACACAAGGCAAACCCAAAGGCCAGGCAACCATGGGCAGGCAGCTGTTGCTCTGGCTGCTCCGCGGATGCTCAGGCTGTAGCTGGGAGAACAGCTCTGCAGTGACAGTGACAGCGCCAGGGCTGAGCCACTAAGCTGCAAGTGAGGAAATGGGACACAGGGGGAATTCCTACTAGAAAAAATGGTTCCTTTCTTATTCCTTCAGAAAAAGATAACCCATTTAGTCTAGTCAGAACAAATTTGATTGGGATTCCTATACTGTACCATAAGAAGTCCCAAACTACCTTGACTACGAAGGCATTCTGCCAAATTCTGTTCTATCTTTTCTTTGTTAGCGAAYGGAAAAGAAAGGGCAAATGCAAGGGCAGTATCAATAGATACTRTGCGATATCAACTATTTCAACACAGAATAAACAGCAGGTCAGCAGTCTCCAGTTATCCACCAGCAGGCAACAGGAGAGGTCATGAACAGCCCCCGTGCAGAGGGTCACACTGCGGGGCTGCCGCAGACCGCTCCGTGCAGCGTTCCCAGAAACAGGAATCCTGCCCCACAGCGACCAGGACATGGGAAGCTTCCTGGGACCAGAGCACGACCTGATAATCAGACACCCTGGGGTATCTAAAAAAAGTGAACAGATGTATCAAAACTATGCCTAGACCAGCTCAGGTGCAGATCCTGTAGATAACTGGCACTTCCTATTTTAAACTTCTATTGTTCATGGATCCACACTCCTCTGCAAATGAGCACTGCAAAAAATAGTGTCGGTTTCACAAGGCACAGGAAAACAGTTTCCAAAATAACTGCCCCTGTCAGAACCAGCCTTCCGGCTCGCTAGGGATGATCAAGAGATTTCTGAATGCTGAGACGGAGCAGCTAAGGTCAGTGTGTGATGGGATGACAGCAYTATCCAGAAAAGGAGGAAAAAAAAGCCCAGAGAAGCGTTTTATAGAAATACAAAGATACAAATGCAAGTATAAATTGCATTTAATTTCTTTAGATACAATAGAGCATCTGAATTCCAAGAGCTTTAAGTCCAGTGACAGCTTCCTAAAACCACAGGGCAAATATGCGTCCGATCTCTGAGCTCTGCCCTGCAGCCCTCCTCGCTGCACTCGGGCACGTTGCTTTGCCCCTCTGGCAACGTAGCCGAGGTCTGGCTTCTTTTCATCACACAGACAGCAAAAAGATATCGGTAACCAGAAAGAACCTGCATCACTGACTTCAGGATTAACTTAATGCTAAGCTTTCGAACCTAAATTAAGACAGTCCTATAGCAAGAGCCACAACATTTACAAATTGCCTTTGCATTTTGAAAAAACCATAAATATTGCCTATGTCTGCTACCAGCTCAGCTAGCTGCATTTTCAAAAGAACTGCTGCACCCTGGCCCAGTCTCCTGGGGCATCAGGAGCAGCCCTCAGATTCCTGTTCTCCTTGCTCAGATTCTCAGCTCCTAATTTAGAGATAAACCTTGTTCTCTGCATGGACATTGCAACAGTTGACAGATTAGGTTTCAAGATCTGTTAACTAATAAACCAATCTCTTTAGCTTTTATTAAATTTAGCTTTGATGTAGTTATTTGATTTATATACATAATATTTTTATTTAGTTCTTATATTTTTTTTTAATATGAATACAGCCTTGTATACATAGTATGCAGTTAGTGAGTAAATTTTTGTTCATCTTTACTTTTTGATAAAGAATAAGGGTTTCTTGTCAGGTATTTTACAGAGCTGAGAATTATGCTGCATAATGAAATCAAGACTAACAAGACAGGTGTGATTTCTCTTCAGCGTGGCTCCCTCCACAATAACTATAATGCAGTGAATAGAGTCAATCCTAACAGAATTAAAGGTTATAACATGGCTGCACTGTGAATTAACCAAACTCTGGCTGAAGGATTTAAAGACATTTCAAATGCTGACACCTTCACCAGAAGTTGTTTTTTGTTGGTTTTTTTTTTTCTTTTTTAAGACTGAACGCTAGTCCATCAGCACAAAACCTTACCACACTGTAATAATGCTAATGGAAAAAAAGTCACTGTAAATATCTTTGTTCTGTCATGCACATTTGTGGAAATTATTTTCAAAACAGGACTTCAATAGCCATCTGGGCTCAGGATTTAATTTGCGGTTTTCAAATTCTATTATAGGCTTTTCTGTTTTTTTTTTTTTAATAGCAGGAGGTGAAATTCTTCTCTAGCAAACAAAAAAAGCAAAGAGAAAATAAAAAAGTGCAGAGAAAATATTCCAGAAGATTTCAAGAAACACAGKTGTTTGTACATGAAAAGAATGATTATTTAAAGTTATGAAAGACTTATAAACTCTTGTAATGACACAGCATGCCAGTAATTAAAAATTAGGATTTCTTAGAGTAGTTCTGATACAATTTTAAAAAGTAGGAAATTTCGTCTCTTTCAGCTTTTAGATTTTTCATATTAGACATACAATGAAACCATTAAGGCTGTAAAAGATGGGCTGAAGACTTACCTTGCCAAATAGCAAAATGCACCGACTCAGCATGGCATGCAGAAATAGGTGGATGGTGACTGACCTAATATCAAAATAGGAAAGGAGAAAGAAAAATACATTAACACTTGAACAATTTCCCCCTTTATTTTTCATATGGGGTATTTACAAGTTGCATAGCTGCTTTCCTTTTGCAGTTGTGTCCTGCAGGGGGAGCCAGTAAGATGAGTAAAACACTGAGGCTTAAGAAGCCTTGAAAGAAGTGGCAAGCACTTTTATTTCAAAAAGCCCTATTTTACTCAAGTGGTAATTTAACTTTTTTTTTTTTTTTTTGGAATGCAGTAATTACATTTAGCCTTAGGGCCCYGTTTATATGCTAACAGAAGCTGCACAGAAGTAAAGAAACAAATGGCTAATTCTTCTGTAAATAACTATAAATCCCCCTGATTATGTGGAACAGGACAGTGCTCATCATCTCTGAGAGGACCAAGGGGGCAAAAATCAGGGGAGGAGAAACCATAAAACTCCATCCAGCATCAASTACTACTTTAACAGCAACTCCTGACATCTTTTCTGACCTGAAACTTTAAGCATTTTCTCAGCTCTGGGTAATGGAATATACATGATTAAAAACAACCACCACAATAACAAAGCAAGAACTGTAGATAAACAAACAAAAATACAGTACAGACTATTAAAAGAAAAGAGTAAATCATAAAGTGAGTGCAGAAAGCAGAGGCTGACAGCTTTCCTAGGCCCCGTTCTCTCTTCTGGATGAACACAACCAAGAGCTGACCAGGACCAACTCTTTGTTGTGTAAAGCCTTTCTACAAAGACAACTTAATTTTTGAGTAAAGTTGCTATTTCCTGCTTTGAATTTCAATTCCTAACTGCATACATGGCTCAAATGCAGTTTCACTTTCCTCTTTGCTACCCACTGAGCAACTTTGCTATTGAGCATTTTTTTCACAAGCATCCAGGTCCTAATGACCCCTAGTTGATTAAAAACAATCCCAAAAAAACCCTCCCCCACGGGACTAATTACACTCCGTTAATTTACCCAGGGCAGCACTGTGTTTCCCTCACTTACTTCACCCAGATTAACCCCAGATGCCACTATAATTCATGGGTCAAACATGGCTCTCACTTAAACTGTTATAATTCCAGAATAAGCTCCTGGAGATAAAGTGAGGTTATTCTAAACTCAATCTAGAGACAGAGCAGAATCCCCCCTATTTTATATATTTTGCATATTATACAGATTACACAGCAAGTTATCTACAGCTAGCATCAAAATGCTTGCTCAAGTAATTAGCACGAGTTCCTGATGCAAAGAGGAAGTTTTAATGCTTGCAAGCTGCACGGAATTTCCTTCCTCARACACAGAATTCCCTTCCTAGTATTCCTCTGTTCATATTAATATATTAACTTTACCACTATTTAACTTAAATGCCTTTTATTGCACATAGTATAACAAGAGTTGTTAACAGCCCAAGCCCCCAGTGTTTAAATAAATTCCTCTTTAGAAAGACTAGTCCTTTCACCGATCTATCTAATACTTGGGGGAAACTCTTCTCCTTTCCATCAAACTAACATTAAATTCAGCACCATGCTTTATTTCTTACTTTGTTACTCCAATTGGTTGCAATGGGGTATATACTCTATACATCATCCTAGAATTAGAATAACATAGTGAAGAATCAGACATGTTACTGGAACTTCAAAATTTGATACTTGCCCTTCCTATTTTGCTTTTCATTTTTRTTTTACTTATGCCAGTGACTCATTTCCTGAGCCTAGGAAGGGATCACACAGCGACTCTTTTGTCAGCTGTACAGCGTCTTGTACATCATGTTCTATCCTCAGAGTCGGTCAAAAAATTAATTTTCTAATGGAAGTCTCTTATAAGGCTTTCTCTGATCAAAACTCAAGGKTATGCTACCCTGGCATATACTGCTTGTTGTTTGCAACTACTGGTTGTTTAACTTCTACTTCAGTCTTATTAAGAAGACATTAAACAGCCAAAGATAATACAGTGTTTGTAATGATCCTAAACAGTATAGAGAAATGCAAAGGCACCTACTCCAATAACTGGATATCTGGACTAACCAGAGGGTTTCCTCACTGCCAGATTCAGACATCCCAGAGTCAGATGGATTTCTTCAAAGAATGAAACAATTCGGTTCATTTACAGTTCTGCAGTGTCCCTTGAGTTTTCCTGGGGTCAAACTTTATTTTTGTATTTATTGTTTATTGTATTCGTTATTAATTCCAGAGGATTCTAGCCTTGCATTCAAAATTATGCAGTCTCTCAATAGTAAATTTAAGGGTTGCAGTGCCCAGTACCTGTTCTGCAAAAAACTGGAAACCTTTATCTTCACGAATACATTCATAGGTCTCTCCGAGCACGGGATTAAATGGCTTGCTTCCAGCTCGGTAGTAACTGGATGCATAGGCAGATACTGCAAAGGCAGCTATGTACACCTGGGAATAACACACACACAGTTTTGATTAATTATCCACAGCCACATCCCATTTTTACTATCCATTCTGTTCTTAGAGAAAAAGAAAGAACAAGTTTTCATTTGACATCAGATTCTCTGTAGTCTGCAAAACAGGGAAAAACAAACCTGCATGCCTGCTACAAGCTGAGTGCTAACTCAAACAATGCAGAATTATTTATATCTCAGACAGCCCTTTAAAGGGGCCAAAGATGAAACTGCTGGCATCAAACGGTACAAAAACGTCACCAGCTGAAAACAGCCTTTCTGAACACTGCTGGAAATAACTTGAAACAGCAGAACTGAAATATATACAGCAAAAAGCTGAGAGCCACTGTAAGAGTTTGCATTACAGCTGGATTTTGCAGTTATGGTCCCTGATTCTGTGTATCAGAAAATGGGCATCTCAGCCCACTTGACTAATACCTGAATCCAGCGTTCTGCACTGGCAGCAGGTGACACGATTATTGTGCTCATTATATAGGGATTGCTAAATTTTGAAATCCTGAACATTTCAGAGCAACCCCAGAATCACACAAACATGCTAATAARCAGAGCTCATCTTGTTAATATAAAGAGATCACAGACATGTAGTGCTGGAAGTCCCAAGGTTCTTTACGAACGTATACACTGAGGCTTTCATATGCATGAGGGAAGTATATACCTGTTCAAATCCTCCTTTTTTGCTGTAAATTTTTAATCTYACAGCGGAGAACTTGGTAAACAGAACTAAATTTCTCCTTTGCTTAACCTTACAGGATGGTGAGGTGCYTGAGAAGAGTCACATCCTGTTAAAGCAACTGAAATCAGGCAGGAGAATGAGAGGCTGGGTGTGCGGGCAGGCACAGACACATACACTGTGCTCCAGGCACTCCGAAGACTCTGACTCTCAGCCCAGAGAAAAATGGAACAAACATCTTCATTCTTTGGGCAGACTAGACTATATTATACTCAATAAATATATTCAGTGTTGTTATATACTTGGAGTAAAATGTTTACTTACCATCCTTTCAAATGGATCAGGTGTATGTGCTGCTTTATCTAGCAGTTCACTGTACTCCAGCTCTTCGCAGAGACGTTGCAGGGTGTTAAGCGGTTCATTTAGTTCAACGGGCATGGCCACTTTGGAGAGATCCTTTCCTATGTTATTTCTCAGGATATTCCACAAGCTGATGTTACTTGTATTAGGACATGGAGCTGGTAAACACGTTCTCCGTTTGGAATGGCATCCAATTCCACTTTCAGAAATACAATCTGAAAGGAAATGGCAAGACAAATAATCAATTCGCTGGTTACAGTTGATACTTTAATGCATATTTGCAAAGGAGACAAAACAGTCCTTTTCTTTATTAAAACTTTCTTCCACCCCGCCACTGCATTCAAGTATTTTCCTTACGGTGTGAAAACACCATGCTATAAAATGGTAAAATTAAGTTTTTAATTTCAATAAATTTTAACTAAAAAAACCTCAATGCACAACTGAATCATAAACATTTAACAGAAAATTTGCCTTCTTTCTCTTAAAGATTGTAAGAAAAGTCTCAGGTTTTCTGCTGAATTTGAAAAGGTAAATATTTCTAATCATCTTATTTGCAAAAGAAATTTATTCCTATACATTTAAGTGACATAAAATCTCTCTCCTTGACAGAGCTTCAATTAAACTGACACTTCTCAGAAGACAAGGTATAACTTCCAGATCCAAGTGTCAAAACATCTCCTATGTATCAYTGCCTATTTATCTGAATACTCCTACTGGGGAAATTTTCTATGTCACAGGTTTGCCTGCAGGCTTTTTGACAATGGTCTGCATATATTATATGCAGAATAAAGCATTTTAAAAATATTAGTGATGTTAGCTTCTAGATACACCCATATTCTGATGGAGAAGTGGCCTGTTTTAAAGGTGGAAAAGCTGAAGCAACTTCTCTGGAGACCATCTAGTCCAATGGTGCTGCTCAGCAGGGTCGCCCAGAGCCCCTTGCACAGGATTGTCTCCCATCAGCTGCCAAATGTCTCCAAGGAGGAAACTCCACCGTCTCTCTGGGCTGCCCTGTTCCATGCTCTGCCACCCTCACAGTAAAAAGGGTTTTCCTTATATTCAGGCAGAGCTTCCTGAACACATGRRAAAAACGTTTTACGGCTTTCCCCAGAAAGCTTTGTCTTGGAGACGTGGAAGCAGCAGGTCTCCTGCCCAAAGGAATGTGCCCAAGGAATCACTGCTCTTAAATGAAGTTTCAGCCACTTCCTCCATTGCTCCACTGGGGGAAGCACCAGCCCAGCAGTGCTTGAAATAGTGGCAAACAGCAGAAAACCATGAGGGCTGGCTTCCCTATCACTGCCATGAACGCCAGCCAGTGCCTCAGAGGGAGGTTTTCAAGGATAAGCAGCATCCTCCAAGTTTTGAGGACAAACTTTCTATCTTTCCTGCCATTCACAAAACCTGAAGTTCTAACATCTGCTGTGACCAAGTTATTTCCAAACTGTTTTCATTACAAACTCTTCCTTTTTGCATAAAAAGCCCACAGTCATTATGAACATGAAAATAAAAGAAAATCTTAACAGTACATCTTTTTTCAGGAAGGCTAAGAAGTCACCTTCTATATCTCTCTATTGCAAAAATGTATTTATCATCAGAAGGGGCCAGAAATGAAAGTTTCCTTGGACACTTCAGGAGAAAGGGGATATCTGAAGAGCAAGATTAGCGCTAATAATCTGTTCTTGTTCAGAAGGGCTCTCTGAAATGGGATTAGGCCACGTCCTTTGACAATTTCCAGCTGCACCCTGAATCTGTGTCAATGTGACTATGTACTCCAGATCAGCCCATTATCTGGGGTAAACTGGTGAGGCTCCATCCGCCCAACATAAAGCAGGGGGGCTCCAYGAGGCAGCTCCGAAACAACCACAACATCGAATTTGACCAGCCTTGGGAAAACAAATGTGCATGACTCCAGGATGCAGCCGGATGCGGGAAACCCAACGCTGCGCATTCATCTGCGCACTGAAGTGCAACGTTCCCGTCTGTGATACAGATCAACAGCTCTCACTAATCTCCTTTAAGGTTTCTGCTGCTTGTTCAGTGGTTAGTTTAATCAGAGAGGTTACTTACATGCCAAGTTTTCTACGCAATAAATCCCTCTTTTATCATCCACAATTCCCCAGAAAAAAAGTTGTGGTTCCCAGCTGTGCTTTGCAAACGCTGTGACAAATGGCAGCAGCACTGGAGGACTTTTAAAGAGAGGGGCATATTATGACCAGCTGGTCTGACCTTGGCTATTAGAGTGGACAGAGGATTTCTTTGTAATCCCATGTCTTCTGGTTCAGCTAGAGCCCACCAAGGCAAAAGATATCAAATGTGATTATTAACAGGCGTAGCAGGCTGCCCAAAGGACAGAGACTACCAACCAGAAGCACAGGAAGATGCTGCTAACAGAGAAGAGCTTCCATGATAATCCTTGTTTAAAAGAGTAGAAACCGAACAGCTTCACTTACCTTAACAAAAAAAAAAAAAAATCTTACTTTTTAAACAGATACAAAATACAAAAGATATTGAATTTAAGCTAACCTAGGCACAGAGGGACTGACTGTTCCRTGAAGATGGTCGATAAATGGCAGATAGTGTGGAAGCACTGTTAGGCAAAACTGAGGAATAAATATAGAGAGGAAACAATGTTCCAGTCAGCAGAAATGGGTGGCACAGCTTGGATAATTAGTATATTTTGACCAATTCYTCTTTTTTTGTTTCTGTCTCCAGTTAGTAATGTTAAATATTAGAAAACAAAACAAAAAATAAAAACAGAAAAAAACAGCATAACTAAAAATGCAACCTCTTTCAGAGCACAATTCAACAAAACCCTGAACTCACCTAAAGTTTGCCTTTCATTCTCCATGTCGTTGCTTAGGTTATCTTCTGAGACATTGTCACTGATATCACTTACATAGGAATCATCGTCTGATACCTAAGTGTGGGGCAGGGAAAGAAAGCCAGGTCACTCATTAAAATAACYCCTCATGAACATTAGAATCATTACTTCAACAACCATTGCTATGGTTAACAAATTTGAACTGTTCACACTGTTCTTCAGAAGTGCTGAAAAGTGCTAAGCAGGTCAAGGACAAAACTGAGTTTGGGAGAGATCAACACCACTGACACACTCAATGACTCTTCCAGTGCAATGATAGTTCATCATTGCATCCGCCAGATCCCGCCACAAGCCAAATCTCCCTTTCTATCAAGACCTCAGCCTTTTAGGGAGTCCTGGAGACAGGATAAAATGGGTTACTAAGTTTCAGCACACACTGTATCAGCCCCAAGGTAACCTGTCGCTACCATACAGACAGGTATGAATATGTATTTCTCTCATACACTTAAGWACTTGTATGAGGACACAAGGTGGTCAGTACAATACAAACACTACCTGCACAGCACACTATGCACAAGCCACCTGTTTGACATTTTCCTTAACGGGCAACTAGGACTTCTCCATAATGCTTAACTCTATTTTACTGTGAAGGAAAAATGACAACAAATAACTACACGTGGTGTATTAATTTTCAAAGGATTTCACTTTCTGACAGTCATCTGATTTCCACTTAGCACTTGGAAGGACCAAAGGTCAAGTAGCAGATAATGAATTACAGCAGAAYGATGTCTAGTCTTAGGGCTCAGACCTCATTTTCTGAAGAGCTGGCGGACAGCAGGACCTCCTGGGCATCAAAAAATTCTGTGAGGGAGTCAGCAATAGACAGTCTGCTTTCATTGGAGATCTGGTGAACCAGACCTCTGCTTTCTTCTCTTGAATTTTCCTGTTTAAAAGAAACAAAATGCCTTGAGAGGAAAAAAGAGCRTTCAAAAAAAAGCAAACCTACAACTATATAACATAAAGGGCTGTAAAACATTGGGAGAAGATTGCACATGCTGCTCTGCAATTTCTTGAGAGGTAACATGTGTTTCAAAGATGGGATTAAAGAAAGAGAAAGACAGGCCAAAAAAGAAAGAAGAAAGCAATGCACATTCAGTAAGTTATGGCACTGTATGTGCATTTTCCTCCTAAAATCAGATGTAAAAACCACAGTGAGTATGAGTGATTTATTTATCAAGATATATGCAAGCATATATCCCCCAGAAAGTCCCCAACCTGCAAAATTCCTGCCTCTATACTACATAGTAGATTCAAATTTTCTTCTGATCTCAGCAAACGGATGATTCTCTTCCTCCCTTATGCCAAGGGATGCAGGGCTGTGCACAATTCAGGAAGGCAAAGAAGGTTTCTGCACAGSAGCAGTGTTTTCCTAGCTCTCCTTCTTCACCTACACTTGATTTCTTTCCATGCTGTGTTAATAGATCAAAACTACACCTGAAGCAAAACTCTGCTAACCAGAAGTAGCAGAGTCAATACCAGAAATACCAAAGCTATAGAAATGACACTGTTTTTATCATGGCTGTCATATTTGACCACCATGGAGATCTCAGGATCTTTTATAATGTATAAGTCCTAAGTGCTGCATAGATGGTTGGCGTTAGAAGAGTTCCAATAGGTTGTCTATCAAAAGTGAGACAAGCAACAAGACTCGTTGCTACAGTAAAGCCCTGGGGAGGCCTGTGCAATGCTGTTTCCCTTCCCAACTCCACCAGCACTAAAGAAAAATATCAGCTGACCAAAGGGTGGCAGTAGGTGCCAGCGTGCGGGCGCCTTCGTGTGTCCTGCACAAGATGATTCCCTCACTAGTGACCAGGGCTGCCCTCACCGCCCTATTTCTGCAGGGTGAGGGTGACCTTTCAGGAGGGGGAATGTTGGCTGCAGGCCACCACCAAAGACMTCTGCTTTACTAGTAATAACCTACCATACCTGTGTAACATGCCTTACTGGTACTCTTACAGCAGTCTCCATGCACCTAACACTTCACCATTTCCACTCKTTTAGCACATTCTTTGCTTCTTATCAGTTATAGTCCCAGACTGTTGATAGTCCCAGACTATTTGATACAACACTGTAGTGGTTACGTTCAGAACTATACACAGCAAGCAAATTGCACTTAATCTGATCAGTCTATAATCAAACACGATCCATTTTCTTCTGAGGCAGAGAGATTTCAGGAATCCTGCTGATGGGGGAACAGTAACTGTCAGCACGTGAAAGCTGTTTCTTGCACACTTGATGCCAAGCATCAAGAAAATAGGCAACCCCAAGCTCTTTCTGTGGGAAGGCAGAGACATTGCTCTGCAAGCCAAAAAAAAATCTATATCCTCAGTCAAACTTAAGATGGAACTTGTTCAGCCTAAGTCAGTTTGCCCTTCAGCTTGATCCAAAACCACGTCATAGGGAATTTGTGAATGGAAGCCTTAGAGGTTCTCTTGAAAGGTATTTTTAGCAAGTCTGCATGTGTTGTACAGAATGCGTTTCAGAAATATTCTATTGTCATTGCAAGGACTTCCACTAAATGAGAAAAGAGAGAAGTGCTGAGAATAAAAAGAATTAAGCATTAATGCTTCCCTGGACGTCAGCCCAGGCGCTGCTCAGACTCTCACAGGGTTAAAAGAACAACCCATCTGCAAGATCYATCAACTATTTCCCCCCCACAGTCTATGCTCAAATCCCAGCTCTATTAAAGAAATTATACTAGAAGAAACAAACAGACTGAATGACTAAATGCTCTATAATATAAAGAGAACGAAAACAATCTGTTATAAGGGGGAAAAAAAGACCAGTATGATATCCATTTAACTTCTAATGRCAGATTTAGAATAAATGCACAACAGAAATTTCTGTATGAGTTAACATTAGGGAAAATCCATCAGAAATAACAGTCTTCGTTTCCCCTCATTAGCACTGTTAAGATCTAGATATTATGAATATAAATGCATCACATCCATATGCAGTCTGTGACTGTGGGAAAGCTGAACATCAGCATATCTCTAACTGGTTAACTGGCCGTGTAGAAGACACGGTGCCTTCACACACAGAGACTAAACTGCTCTTGTCTCTGTTTCTCACGTCTTCGTTCCCCTCATAAAGCGCCCAAGAACCTAAATGAGACCAACGCTGGCCAGTCCCCTGGGCTGGCAGTATTAAGAGTGGCAACAGAAAGAACTATAGAGCTTGAGAGCTGGGAACTATGGAGTTTGGAAATGGGAAAAAGGAGAGAAAAACTAGCACCAAGGAAGCACTGGGAAGCTCTGTTCATGCTGAATGGGCAGCAGGCAGGAGCTGAGCGAGAATACAGGAGCTAGCAGCGAAAAGCAATGGAAGGGTGAGCAGGAAAACTGCTTACAAGGAAAGTCTTTAAATATTACACAATGCATCATCCAAAATGATTCATAACCACGAAAGCAGCATCTTTTTTTGCTAACACAATACGCTGCAGGGAAAACATCAAGATGTAGCTACGCAACACTGTCTAGATGTAGGGGCTAGAGGCAAGGGAGGTCACTGAAAGAGGAAAAGCCATACCCACCTGCACCAAATCTGGGCTTGATTTTGCATTAGATGCTGAATCAAGGATCATAGATTCGGCATGTATTCTGCGTAACCGGTCTTTAAGATCTGTGTTTTGTGCTATTGCCTGGAACATTTAACAAAAATATTGGGGCTATGAAGTTCTCTCAACTAATTTGAACAGCGGCTTTACTGTGCAAGGGGAGAACAGTATTTAAAGTGAAGAATAAAATACCAACATCATCAAACAAGCTTCCACTGGTCCAGCAAATCATTTATTATAGATGCTTCAACCCGTGTTCCTTCTCAAATTGAAACTATTTTTTGTGCAGTGTGAGAGGAAAAGGCAAAGTTGGAGAACAAAAGCCAAAGGGAGCTTGGAYATTTCAAGTTAAGGGACTGGGACTATGGGACTGTTAAAGGCTATGAGGTTCTGCAAGCTGATTTATTGGGTTATAAACATTTATAATGCATCTTGGTTGGTTTCCAGCTCCCTTCCCCTACACCAATCTAACCTCTCTCACTCTTAATTTATACTCCTGTCCCCAGCCAAAGTGATGTTTCATTTTCCCATCAACCTGATGTACTAACAGTTCCTTGAGTCTGCTGCTGACATGGAAATACATTAAATTTGGGCCTGATTTGTAACATGAAGTTATCTACTCCTTTTGCAGCTGCACTTCAATCACAACTGTGCTACTAGACTAGGCAAGGATGTAGAAAACAGTTTGGAAGAGTGAAAGATGACTATTACACATGACATTGTCCTGCCCAGAATTCCAGCAAGCTGATTTGGTTCTGCAGGATCAAACTGAAATCCGAGAAAGCCACAGAGCTGTTCCCTGTGCAGCCTGCAGATGGCCAGGCTGAGCAAGATTAACTTCTCCACGAAGAAAGAAACAAATASAATTAAATACAAATACCATGATTTGAAATATTAGCATTCTATCTGCACACTATTATATATCAATACCACATTGCAATAGTGTTTATGTTTTACTCCTTTGAAATTATATGCAAGTATTCCTTTAMATTAGTTCTAGTAGAAATCTCTGCAGATAATAAAGGTGAAACAGCCCATACTTTGTTCCATTTCAAGCATGGAGACACTCCTACGAACAAGAAGGAATCTTTCATTCACACTAYTATAAGTACACATAATATCGTAAGACTATATAACAGTAAGTTTTTCCTTTTCCAGGATTGTTTTTATCTTGCTCATAGGGGAGTTTCATCTTGCACATTTGGAGAGGACTGGGAGAGTTAACACCACAACCAGGAAGAGGTGCAATTTGTGTCCCAACAGCCTTGCAGGAGAAATGATCAGAAGACAAAACAACGACTTTTACTGCACGCTCTGGTAAGAGCTACTTTTTGCTGTCATTGCTGCCCRCAATAAAAGCTTGTATTAAAAAAGTTACAAATTTTAACTATAAAAGAACAACAACAACAACAACCACCACCACGCTAAATAACAGTCCCTGTACTGCAACACAATTCTAGCCAAGCTAGTGATTTTAGTGTATCCAGCACAGAAGTGAGGGGGATGCCACAGCCCCTGCAATACCCATTTTCACTGTTCACCTGATTAAAGCCCCCTGCCACAAACTCCTCCACAAACACCTCTTGATGGCTGGAACAAACTGAAGATTTCTGTRCTGCCCACTTTGGGGATGGGAATCAATACTCGGATGTGGAGAACCTTCCAATTACCCCTCCGCTTTCTCCCCCAGATATTTCTGATTTCAGCAGCATTTTTTGTGGAGAGTAGACGTGGGCTCAGGAACAACAGCAGGCTCAGAGTTAYGGTGGTGGGGAATGGGATTATCTCCTGACTCTGCATATGGAATTCAAATATAGACATCGACTATTCCCTTTGAGAAGTGATCAAACGGACAACTTTATGTATTACACCTGCTTTTATATATATAAATATATATASATAAAACATATATGAAATTAAACAGCTTTCTTAAAAAGGATTTTGCAACTTTCAAGGTCTGCCACAAAGATTTTTCTTTCTTCTACTGTATGTCAGTAAGAAGGTACTTTTCTCCCATTATTTCCTTTTCTAGGACTGCACGTAGCTCAAGGATAGTAGCTTACTGACAAAGAGGCAGAGGAAAAGCTGCTAATTTTGACTACTCTCAACCTGTCAGACAATTTTGGTTTTTTGTTCCTCATGAAGACAAATTGAAATTACCAACAGACACTAAGTCAAAGTCAGCAGTGAAAGGCTTTCTGCCAAGGAACAGTCTCAGAAATGTGGCAAGTTTATCATACATTTCCAGAGGCCTTCAAAGGATACTCATCCTTCCCGCCTACTCTCTGCTGCATGGTCTGGGGTGACCGTATTTCTGCTGGCATCAGGGCTTTACAGAGATCCTTTGAATACAGKTACTATGCAACAGGCTTCAGGTCTCTCCAAATTCTGTGCAGGCACCAYGACCTCTTAAGGTCCAGGGAAAGAGATACATTATAAGCTAAAAACTCTAATCACATCTAGCTGTTGTACAGCAAAGGACAATTTCTATTTCAATGAAATTCTAGTATTACCTGTGCCACATTTGCCAGTGCTAGAATCACTGCTGCCTCTGACCAGGAATTTGCAGCATCCCCASAAATGTTAAGACCTTGGTAACGATGGCCCTCATTATGCTGARACTGGATCGTTATCTGACTGATAAATCTGATTGTGAAATCCTAGTCTTGAGCAACTACAAAAATCACACCTACCAAGCAAAACACATTTTACAGAGCAGAATCTCTTGTCATTAGAACTCTACTCCAAGAGCTCCTTTGCTGTTCTCAGGCAACTAGCAGATAATTAAGGTTGCAAGCCAATACAGACAAATTGTACTTGCTTTATAGTATCTCAGTGCAGCACAGTGAAGCTCAAATGAGTTGAAGGGACAGACAGGCACTATCCAGACCTGACTTCACACCAAATAATGTTTTGACTACTTGAGTGCTGTTTAAGAAAAAAAAAATGCAACCTTCCAGACTTGAGTGAGTAAAACAAGTCCCAGAGAGAAGGCAGACACACTGCAACAGAACAGCCCTCTGATACTCGCCATCGAAACACACAGATTATATGGCACACCTAGATAGAGCTGTCATGTCAGTGATTTCACATTTCCTTCATATCTTAGGAAAAAAAATCTCTGAAAAGCACTGAATACAATGCCACACTATGCTGAATAMTGGAATTCTAGCAGAGAAAAGATACTAAAGAAAAAGGTATTAGCTTGTATAAAATTTAAGAGTGACTGATGACAACGACACTTGCTGAACTTCAGCACGGCACTTACGGATGTTAAGGCATTCTTCAAGCCAACTATTTGTGCAGATGGAGACAGGGATGCATCATGTTCCAGCATCTGYTTCAGCTTCTCTCTCTCTGCAGATATGGTGCTGAAAGCTGACTTCAAGGTGAAGAAAACTAGAACCATTTTGTAAAATATGACAGTTAAAACAACCATGAATTCTGTACAGCCAAGTAACGTAAAACTTCAGTGAAACAACATTTATGGTGACAGAAACTAGAATCTAGGTTGAGAGATTCAGGGCGGGTTAAGAAYAAGCAATATTAATGAAGGTTATAGAGTAGATATTTAGTAGCAGAAATGTTTATGGTGAATGCTACACTGTTGACTATATTAGCCATATTCAAAATTATTCTGATCATTTGTGACAGATGACGGCAAAGCTAACTAACCACATCTGCTCCTCACTTGCTTTTTGTTTCCCAATTAGCTGGAATCTTCAGACAGTCCTGATTATTCCACATTCATTTATGAAATTCAGTGGGGTAGAAAAGGGGAAACGAAGGGGAGGAAGAAAAACAAGAAAAAAACAAGTCAAGAAAGCAGCTATGGCATTTACTGTGCTATAGTTAGGACAGGCTAGTATTTTGCTCCCMAACAAGTAAAAATGTGATCCTGAATTTGTTTGTCTCTTTTGGGGATAAGGAAATTCCAGCTTTAACGTTAGACAATTTAATTACTCAAAAGGTAAGATGTGTAATGTTTAGTGTGCATGCTATGCTGCTACTTGCATCCCTTTCTGACTTGTTACTAAACTGAGACATGCAATTCAAACAAATCATGCAAGCTGAAAAGTCACTAGATTTTTTTAAAATGGAGCAAACCTTTCTCATTTTCTGACTTTTGGAACTCCTTCTCCGAGTTTTTGTTTTATTTTTCTTTAAAGTACCATAAGGAATAAATSCTCTAAGTAATGTACCTTTAAGATTTCAGCATTCATCTACCTGGCAAATTACAGTATTTGCAAGAGCCTGGTCAAGTCTTGCTGTAAAGTCACAAGAACTGGCAATGAAAGATTCACCAATTCACAGCGAACCAGAGATACAAAATTTGCATACGAGGGCATGTCTATGTTCATGCCAGATGAAAACAATAAGAAAAAAGAAACTTTAGTATCTCTCTCTCTCCCCCAGTCACGCACACAGTATTAACCTGAATAATTATTAATCTACTTGAGCATCTAAGGCATCCTATTTCACTATTTTTATACAAAAAACAAACAAACAAACAAACAAAAAAACTCCCAAGGTGCATGTGAACATTGCAAACTATTGCCATAGTTAATTCTCATACTATAACCTGTTTCAAAAACTCTTTAACATTATGTCAAGTGAGAAGGAAGGATGCATTCATTATCATGCACTTCACATTAGGCTTTCCATGKGAGGAGGAACTTCTTCCCTGTGAGGGTGACAGAGTCCTGGCACAGGCTGCCCAGAGAGTCTCTTTTTCTGGAGTCTCTTTTTCTGGAGATCTTCCAAACCCGCCTGGATGCCAGCCTGTGCCCGGTGATCTGGGTGTCCCTGCTGGAGCAGGGGGTTTGGACTAGATGATCTCTAGAGGTCCCTTCCAGCCTCAACCATTCTGTGATTCTTTCACATGTGGATAACATGACCAGAATCCTCAATAATAAGCTAACATGTCCTTTAAGAAACTACATACTAACTTAAATTTGCAAGAATCATTACAGATGAAAGGCCTAAAATTACATTTTGTTTAATTTGTATCAAAAGATACAACAATTTTTTCCTTCAAAACATTTTTTTTTCAGAGTGGCAATAACACTAAGCAACTGTGAGAAAAAAACCTTTATAAATTGCTACTGCATTAAATAGCACCTAGTTACCTGTGCCTCAAATGCAGGGATCAATCYGACCACAACTTATACACAGTCATTTTGCTTAAGATGATACTGAAGAGATCTCTTCAGACAGTGACTCTTGCAACAGCTCCCSATCACCATCATTTTTCTTTTTTTAAAACATACACCAGTTTTGACTACATTTGACTTTACAAGCTTTACCACAGAGGCAGATTCTGGCCTTACATAACAGAATCAAGACATCTCACCACCAGTGAGGAAAAAGATCAAGCAAAGAAGGCTTAATGCWAACACCAGTCACCATCATTGCAAGAGGGGGCAGAATCGACTCCAAGAGCTTYTCAGAGAGAAATGCACACATTTGTGCCTTTCCTTACCAAGATCACTTAAACCATTAAGCTATTCCTGGTGCAAGAGTGATGGAGCAAAGCATTGCTAAGGGAAAAAGTGATTTTGCAGAGAACAAATATTTCGAGTTACGTTGCTCCTCTGACTACTTCACGTGATTTTACTCCTCTGTATTCACTAAAATGAGTTCACTACCACAGGAACCCTTTCATCATCGACAAATCTTGACTGATACATAGGGAACCATCCCAAATACACAAACATACACGTGCTCATACACACACACACACACACACACACACACACACACACACACACACACAGGTGGATGCACACACACAGTATAATTTGCTGCTGTATTTATAGCAACAGATTTTCAGACTTTCATTTTCTGGCAGTAAATACAATCAATTTCTGGCACATAAAGCACAAGACAGAAAGTCCTAAAAAGCCACTTGATGATTAGTCCATTTTTCCCTCTGGATCAACTCAAGACTTCAACATTTGCAATTCCACAAGGAACTATGGGAAGAAGGGTGCTTCAGGYTTTTATTTATTATTATTATTAAATGATTAAACAGAAAGCAGCATCAGAAGGCAAAGAAGATCTCAGAATCTAAGAAGATGTGTTGCAAATCCACAAATGAAAGRGAATATAATTTACCTTTATGTGCAATGTGAAATAAGTCTTCTTGCATTTTAGTAAATTCTGATGATGTTTCAGAGCCATCAGAGTAATTTTTCTCCTCTACAAAATCTATAGTAGATAAATTAGGATTGGAAGCATGTAGTCTCATCGGCGCAGAAAATACTGAAGGCACCTGTAARGATATCCATATGTGGCATTTTTACAAACTGTCAAGAAAGCTTTTGTTATCATCGCTACTGGATTAGATGCTGGAGGCACCAGAAATGGAAGAACTATCAGTAAGGAACAGGTTTGGAACAAGTGACAGCTGGCAAATGAAATCACAGGTGCAACTTTGCACAAGATGTCATACATGGAGAACTGACAAAACTCCAAAGACACAAGACCTCAGCGAGCTACCACATGTGCCTGTTTTCCCTTGCTTATAGATACCTAAGGACAAGGGATCTAGAAAAAAAGTTTTCATAACTATTTTTTAAAACTGTGCCCAGAATTTGCAGAGATCTGCGCTGCAGAAAACAAACAACAACTGGATGTAGATTGAAAACACGTAAACTTCATGGTCAGTCTTTTGAATCAGCCAGCAGAGATCCTGATACAATGTAGGTTTCAAAGACTATGCATTTTGTCTAACGCATCACAGTTTAAGATGGGCTATCACAGGAGACTACTTAGAAAGGATTCAGATTTCCTAAACTACCAGGCTAAGAACTAATGAAAAACAGTATCCGGGGAAACAAAGACTACAAAAACGACTGAAGTTACCTGTAACATTCCCTTAGGCTCTTTCCCAACAACTCTGGATCGCCACCTCCTGTGTGTTCTTTTCTCCTTTTTAGGGCTTTCAAAAGGTCCAACCTTTTAACAACACACAGCACAAAAGTAATATGGTTTGCCAAAGAACCAGACAAGACAAGAAGAATTAGATTTATCCTGTGCTTGTTTCTTTYTGATCCCTTGGAATGGCAAGGGAGAAGTTTTGTTTGTTTTTAATTTAAACAACAAACCTGTATAGCATTTATAGCAGGTGCTGAGTACGTCCTGTGAAGAACATCCATACTCTGTAACAGCTGGTTCATTTCCAGTAAATATGTGTGACAGTAGGAAAGGTCTGTTTTGAACAAAAAAGTATTTTCAGTTCTTCTGAAGTAACACACACACTAAAAGATTTTGTCCATTCACAGCTTAGTCTAATTTTCATTTTAATTTGTAGCTAGCTTAAGTTATTCTTGGACAAATAGTAGATTACTAGATTACTGAAGTGAAGTTTCTGTATATGTGTGTATGTACATATATAACTACACACAAAATGCACTGAAATATTCAGGTTCCTTTAAAAGGTCCCAAAAACTTGAGGTAACCACATTCAAAATTATTACTCCTTTCCGATACAAGCGAATAGCCAGTGAACAACCACTCCTTCCTTCCCTCCAATTTCAGAGAATGTTTTAACTGTAATGACCACTTATGCTGTGCTCCTGCCATTTTCAGGGACAATCAGGGGATACATTCAGTGCTTTTCTTGTGTGTGTTTTCTTTTTAAGATCAAACAAGAAGCAATCTCAGAAGTCACATAATTAAGTTGYGATTATGTAAAATCACATTAGAGTCTTTGCAATTTCCTTCACACATCCTTACCCCTTGAGCATTTTTCCATGTCTTCAGAAGACTGTAGCCAAGATGGAATCCGGGACTCATTACTTGAATAGGAAAAAGACAAGCTGCCTCCAGCTGACACTGAGCTCTGCTTGGTCAAGCTGCCTGCCTGTTCGAGGACAGCAAAAGAACTTTTAACACACAATATTTTACTGCTCTTCACAAACATCTTGTAAACCAGTGGTTGAGGTAGATAATCACTGCCAAAGACCGCATTACCAACTTAAAAGAAACAAGCACTGAAACTATTTTAGGCATATAGTTATTGGGCATAAGAGCATAATGTTGGATATCATAATGTATTAAGRAAGTTGACTGCCAGTAGTCGAAAAACAGATACCGAAGGAAGCACAAAATTTGCTGAAAATTAGATTTTGAGGAATGCCAAATATCTGCACCAGTTAAATCATTTTAGAATGACTACAATACCAGACATGACACAGGACCAAGGGAAGATATTCTGTTCCTCCTCCACTCTTCCAAAGAAACTCTTTCAAAAAATCTCCAGAATTCAGATAAATTAGGGGCATGAGCAGGAAGAAAGAAGGAAAAATCCATTGCCAAGGAACAGGGAATGGATCTAGTCTGTATGGCTCCACTTAGCTTACTTTTGTCAGGATGGCTAAAATTTAGAATCAAGTATTCTATATAAACATGTATAGACACATACATCCTCTCCTCCCAGACTTGAAGATTGGCTATTATGTGTTTCTAAAAGCAAATAAAATGCAAAGATTATTTGATATACTTAAAGAGTGAATTACTGGATTGATAGCTACTAGCATTAACCTAAGGTTGGCATAAATTAGCAAATCTTCAGTAACTTCAGTAAAACTAAGGTTTAACAGCAGTTTAAAAATTATCCTTTTTTTTCCACATCAAAATAAGTAGGACTTCTTTGCAGTGCAAATCTGGATTAATAAAGGTGAATTCAAGCCTTTTATTGCAAAGAAGAAATGGTTATTGCWCCGGACAGCAGTGCTGCTGAAACTTCAAGTTCCAGTAAGTTAACAGGCAGCTTGCAGCTGGGTGCTCACACAGCAGCATGCGTGGTTTTGTTTGGAGCGCACAGGCACACCGACACCGCGGGGTTTGCCCCTGCCTGCAACGCAGCCGCCGCGCGGGGTGTGGGGGCAGCGCGGGGCGGGCAGGCCCCA